ACAGTGTGTGTGTAGAGTGTGTGAACACCCCCCCCCCCCAAGCCTACCTGTCACTGGAGGCTGTTGCTGGGGGTCAGGCAGCCATCTTCTGTAGCAGCATGGTCTGCTGCTTTATGGTGGGGGCGGGGCTTATGTACAGGGGTGGGGCTTATGTTCATTTGGGGGCATGGCCTGTGCCAGGGAGCCAATTAGTGCTCCCTCCAGCAACAGACAGCCCCCAGCACCTCAGCACTGCATTCCCTCGAGCTGTCAGACACACACACTGTTACAGCCCGAGGGAATATAATTGAAGCCCATGCCCACGTTGCTGGCATTTGGGAGGGTCCAAGGGGGGGCACAGCATGATGTAGGCCATGGCCCCCCCTAGCGACACCACTGCTTCAGTGCAATGTTTATAGATGTAATTATCCTTCCTTTTATATGTATAATTGACAAAGTCAAATCACCCGCCAGCCGGTCCTCTTCCGGATCACATGACACGGTTGCGTGCCTGCTTCGAGCCGGCATTGATGTGAGGTCACTTTCAGGTTCGTATTGGTCATCTGTCTCTATTACAGGAAGTATCCTTAACATCCATTTTGCAAATTGGCAATTCTGCCCTCAAACAAAAGATACAATACTCTGTGGGCTTGTAAATACTTAAATTAAAAAGCTGACAATATATAGTAATACAGTAAAATAACACTCTTATAATTAGACCAATATTACACACAAATTCATAATACATTACTGCAAAAAAAATAATGGAAAATATATAAAATCAAATGTCTGTATTACAGTAATATTTTTTTTTTTTAAACTATATATTATAAAATCCTCAAATATAGTTAAAAATAGATGGATATATTGAAATAATAGGAGGCAAATTCGAAATCCATATTTAAGCCATTTGGATTTAAAGTGTCTCACTCAAATATCCATCTGGTTTCTACCTTACTCAGTTCTTTGAAGTTATCTTCCCCTCTCCAGTTGTGTGTTTTCTTATTGTAACAAATGGAAGAGCCTAACCTGCTTTTCATCATACGAATGCTAACTACCGAACACCAGACCACCCAGCTCCCTAAATAAGGGTAATTTACCTCCCTGATCCACAAGTGCTTTTACATAGAAAACCCACGAACGCTTTGCGAAGTGCCTGGGTGGCCGCCATTTCGGGACTTACACATGTTTGCGGCCATCTTAACTCCCGAACAGCGGTGTTTTGCCATCGAGTGTCTGGAACTAAAGTTGGACACTCGAGTAGGCGAACACCGCTGAGACCTCCATAGCACCGGGAAATCGTGCTACAACTACCGAACAACAGGCCGTTCGGTAGAAAGACTTAATAGCCTATGGGGATTCTGGCGAACATCGGGTTACGCACGGATGGCAAGCCATTCAGGACTTTTTACGCATGAACAAAGACCGACCGCGAGGCCAAAACTCATGGAACTATTTTCGGCCACTTTGCCAGTGCGGTTGGTCAAAACTTTAAAACTCCATATCTCCCGAACCGCTGAACCGAATGAGCTGAATTTTTTGTATGTTGGTCCCCCAGAATAGGGCTATCTTAAAAAGGGTACATCCAAAACTTGGGGAAAAATGTGTCTCTGTCAATTGTGTTACAAGCTTATCTGAGGGGAGGAGATGTGTGGGATGTACTTTGTGTTTTATTGGTTGTTTTGTTAATTATGTGGGTGTCTCCCTTGCATGGGCAGAATCACATAAAAAGAGAGTGCCTGCCATTAAAAGCCAGTTCTTCTTGACCCTTCAAAACGTAGCCTTGTCTCGTTCTTGAAAGGGAATATGCAGCATAATCACTTAGCTCTTTTAAGAGCTCTACCTGACTCCTACCTTGGATCCAGTGGATGGGAATAAGCGACTCCATTACTATACAGCGACTTGCCGGGAAGAAAAGGACGTCTCTAACGGCTGCTACCCTCTTACTACCTGGGTAGCCGTTACACTTATAAATGGCCATAAAATGTAAACACCTTTGGTCACT